TGGTAAGTACAATGTATAGATGATAGTTGTTTCATTGGAAATCATAACACATCTCCTTATTTATATAATGAAATTGAGAATGGAAATGGGGAATGTGTCAAAGAGACAACAACCCGACCATAGTACAGACAACAGCAGAAGGTGATCTATATTCAACGACCTCAGGTACAAAAAAAATGTATGTAACTAAACTATGATGGGAAACCTTTGACTTCTTTCTTTTATATAAACTTTTGATTTGGTACCATAGAACTATGTAGAATAAATGTACATTGCAACATGTCAACTCTTTCAATGACAATACTTTTTTTAGAAACTATAACTCCAAGCAAAATTATATTTCCAAGTATAAAGTAATTTATGAATGAAACAAGAGTGCACATGCTGAAATGTCTCGCCTTCTTTACTAATCATTGATATTATGTTGATAGTCCTAAATATAAAGCTTTATTACAACTGTCACATAAACTTAACATTAACCAAGTAAACTAAGCATTGACCAATGAACCAAGAAAACGAGGTCAAGGTCAGATGAACCATGCTAGGCAGGCATGTACAGCTAACAATTCTTCCATACAACAAATATAGCTGACCTATTGCTTATAGTTTAAGAAAAACAGACCAAAACACAAAAACTTAAAACTGAGCAACTGACCTTGAAAATGAGGTCAAGGTAAAAAAAAAAACCTGTGTGACTGACAAATAGATCATAAAATATTTCCATATACCAAATACAGTTGAACTATTGCATATAGTTATAGAAAAAAAGACCAAAACTCAAAAACTTAACTTTGACCACTGAACCATGAAAACGAGGTCAAGGTCAGATGACACCTGCCAGCTAGACATGTACACCTTACAATCATTCCATACACCAAATATAGTAGACCTATTGCATACAGTATAAGAAAAACAGACCAAAACACAAAAACTTAACTATAACCACTGAACCATGAAAATGAGGTCAAGGTCAGATGACACCTGCCAGTTGGACATGTACACCTTACAGTCCTTCCATACACCGAATATACTAGACCTATTGCTTATAGTATCTGAGATATGGACTTGACCACCAAAACTTAACCTTGTTCACTGACCCATGAAATGAGGTCGAGGTCAAGTGAAAACTGTCTGACGGGCATGAGGACCTTGCAAGATACGCACATACTAAATATAGTTATCCTATTACTTATAATAAGAGAGAATTTAACATTACAAAAAATATTAACTTTTTTTTCAAGTAGTCACTGAACCATGAAAATGAGGTCAAGGACATTGGACATGTGACTGACGGAAACTTCGTAACATGAGGCATCCATATACAAAGTATGAAGCATCCAGACCTTCCACCTTCTAAAATATAAAGCTTTTAAGAAGTTAGCCAACGCCGCCGCCTGATCACTATCCCTATGTCGAGCTTTCTGCGACAAAAGTCGCAGGCTCGACAAAAAGGAGTTCTTAATTAAGAAATAAACTGATTCGCTGAGCGCAGCTGGATACACCAGCAGAGGTCCAACCCTGAACAGTTGGGGCAAAAATGGACACAATATTCAAGCTTGATACAGGTCTGAATTTGGATTGTAATTAAATATTTGACATATTATAGTTTCTGAATAAATGTAGTCACAGAACTTGAAATTGATTATATGAATTGAATTTATATTCAATAAAAGATTTCTTACTGTTGTGCAATACACTGTGCTGTTGCGCAATACTTAATAAATCTGTTGCCAGACTATAAACAAATAAAGTTCAATTTCTTCTCAATGTCATATTTGAAATTTATGAAAATCAACAGGGAGATTACATCAATAGCTATAAATAATTCACCAAAGTTTCATGCGAACTGCTTAAAGCATTTTTGAGTTGTTGTCCAAAAACTGGAAAATCCCTGCTTTTTTAATGAATAAAACCCCCATAACTCAGAAATGTAAAATCTAAAATTTATAAAATTCTAAAGGGAGCTTACGGATTGATAATTTAGTCTTAGATGCAAGATTTTTTTATCAGTTGTTAGTGGCTTTGAACTAGCTGTCAGTAAATGCGAGTACTCTCAGATCTGTACTTAGTGTCTTTTTGTTGTTTGGATGTACAACTACCCGGCCTCGTCCACTTGTATTTGTATTTATCCATCTGATGAGTTAAGCCTCTTTCAACTGATTTTTATAGTTCATTCTTATATTGTACTGTTACACCACTGTCCCAGGTTAGGGGGTGGGTTGGGATCCCGCTAACATGTTTAACCCCGCCACATTCTGTATGTACATGTATGTGCCTGTCCCAAGTCAGGAGCCTGTAATTCAGTGGTTGTCGTTTGTTTATGTGTTGCATATTTGTTATTCGTTCATTTTTTGTACATAAATTAGGCCGTTAGTTTTCTTGTTTGAATTGTTTTACATTGTCATTTCAGTGCCTTTTATAGCTCACTGTGCGGTATGTGCTTTGCTCATTGTTGAAGGCCGTACTGTGACCTATAGCTGTTAATTTCTGTGTCATTTGGTCTCTTGTGGAGAGTTGTCTCATTGGCAATCATACCACATCTTCTTTTTTATATTTACATCAACAGATATAAACAATTCACCAAAGTCAAGGTGAGACAACAAAACTTAGTTGTAAGATCTCTGAAATTTTTTACACGGTACAAGATTTTTTTCTAATTGTTGGAGATTGCACGGTGACAGTAACACCTGTAACTGCTTTACCCATTTCTTATGCACTTTGGTTCGATAAACTCACTGAATATCATACCACATCTCCTTATTTTTATATGCATTACAATTTACATGTGCATGTAATTGTAAATATTATTTATATATATATATCAGAACAAACTTCATTGCGTCACTTTTATTTATGCATCCTTTGGCACAATACAAGTTCTAAAATTACACAACATAAAACAACTAAATGTTATTTCAGATGAAAGTTTTGTTTCAGTTCCATTCATAGGATTTATTAGAATTTTGTATGTTTTGCCAAGTCCAATAATTAGCTCTATGTGCACGTGTTAATTGGAGACTTTTCTATCCCTTATAAGAGTTTTGGAACTAATTCTGTTTCTTTTTTTGAAAAAAGTGAGCAAACAAATCATGCACATTTAAACCTTTGTCTGCCATCACACTGTCACCTGGATCACATAATTGAACTATTCTACATCTTTCAACTATTTCACAGTCACTGGTACAACCAACATATGCATTAGAGACATAGTTGACTAAACCACCAGGAGTCGAACATACAAGTATTTTCAGTGTTTCTGTTTTTATATGATGAAAAGGTTGCCTGAGCTCTAGGAGCTTTAGGTTTTATCACGGGATATTCTGTGCTGTCAATAATAATCCAAGTTGTAGGAAACTTTAATTTGAAGTTGGATGGCGAAAAATACCTGACTAAACCACTAAATGGCCAAGTGTTAGCCTCACGCCACTGTCAGTCAGGGGTACTACTTGTACAAGTAATCTTTATTTACTTGAAGAAGTAAATAAAATATACTTATACAAGTTAATTATATTGTTTGAATAATCTCCCCTTAATTTTCAAAAAAATTTACTTGTATAAGTAAATTTTTTTTACAATCCCACAAAAATTCTCAAGTTTTGAGATGTAGAATCATGCCTTTAACAATTTTTCTCAGGTTAGCTCATAATTTTTGTTAAGAGTTCAATGTTTCATCTCATTAATTCAACAAAGAAACTGATTGAGCAAAGATCTTAAGTATTTGCGCAAGGCCTTCAAAAATTGCTCCTTGGGGGCTTGTAAATGAGCAGTGTTCTAAAGATAACAGACAAATGAGATTTTCATTGTCCGTGAAATTACACTTAAATGAATAGTTAAGACATCTGCAAAGGACAGATAATTCAAAATTCTGTTGGAGCAAAGAAGTTCTAAGAATTCAAGAAAAGAAGATAGGATGACTTTTTTACTTGTATAAGTAAAAAAATCTGAATGTCTAAGGGACATAACTAGGCCAAAAAATAATTTACTTATACAAGTAAATAAAATACACTTGTATAAGTATCCTACAAATTTACTTATATAAGTATATTATAATTACTTCTTCAAGTAAATAAAAATTACTTGTACAAGTAGTACCCCTGACTGACTGTTTAGGCATAAAAACAATCCATGTTTACACAATATTCTTAACACTAGTTTCAATCTAGAATCTAGACAGTTCAAAGTTGGTTGTATAATGCCTCAATTTCATCAAAGTCATAAAAAAACTGATTTTCAAATGACACCCTATCAATTTGAAAATATATGTATCTCAAACAATGTGCTGCTGGACCAAGTGTGGTCAAAACAAATAAAAATTTAGTATACAAGTTACAACTCTAAATCGGTATATAAATGCATGGCTGTGTCACATGTCTTCATTTCAAAATTCTCTGCTGAAAATATAGGCATTGATGGTGTTTGCGTAATTCCATCTGTGAAGCTCAACATTAGCTCGGCAGTTGGGAAGCAAGTTAACTCGTACCATTGTAAACTCGTACCACGTAAACTCGTACCAAAAAAGTTAACTCGTACCAACGTAAACTCGTACCACTGGGAAGTCGTACCAATCAGAACTCGTACCTCTGCAAACTCGTACCATTAAAAATATATTCAAAACGAATGTTTTATGATTTTTTTTTTTGGTAAACTTAATAAAAAAAGTTGAAATACTTGAATTTTATACTAGATTTTAATGAAAACTTAGACAAAAATACGAATGTTTTATGATTATTTTTTTTAAGCTTTATACAAAAAATTAAAATATCTTTGAATTTCATACCAGATTTTAATGAAAACTTAGACAAAAATCAACTTGTTTAATCATATTATTAGATTTTGATTGTTGTTATATAATTTAACAGCTTGGAATTAAATGTATAATGTTTATTATTAAATGAAATTCCTGATCATCAAAACATAAGCTGACATGAGTTGTCTCAAAGCCCACTTTCCTCATAAAATGGGGCATTTTTGTGAGGTTCCTCATAACCAAAATAGAAGACGACAATTGTATATGGTGCCACTCTCTGGTTAGACCCCGACAAGAAGCAATAGAGTGTGATGTATGTTCTAAATGGCAACACAGAAAGTGCGGAAATATAGGTAGCTACAAATTGGTCATTGTAATTTCAAATTATATACATTTTACAGACTTAAGAGGTATTGAGTGAAATTAAAGTATATATTCATCATTAAACACCATTTGAATGCATTTAAATAAGTTGGTACGAGTTTACAATGGTATGAATTTACCGTGGTACGAGTTAGCAGTGGTACGAGTTTGCATTGGTACGAGTTTTTTTTAGTGGTACGAGTTGACATTGGTACGAGTTTACAATGGTACGAGATAACTATAATTCGGCAGTTGGTGGTAGACAGTCATAAATCATGTCTGCAGTATGAATGACTTCTTCAGGAAAACCAACTTTACAATCAAAACTTTCCTCTAGATTTCTACTACAATATTCATCAAGTTTAGTTCTTTTGTTTTCACAGGAAACTGCCCTGATTTTTCTTTTTGCTGACGATTCAGTCTCTTGCTTGGTCCAGGAAAATAGGCTGGGAATGGCAGTAGACTTAAGTCTCTGTATGGTGGGTTTGCACCCTGAAAAAGGTTATAAAACATTAGTTTTTTGATAATTAAATGAACTTTCATTAGCAATGCATACTTTATACTACCTGGCAAAATATTAACTAGATTTATTCATTACAATCTGGATAAAAATATGTTAGCCTGATTCAATGTACATCAAAATGTATGTTATGTAAATCCAAAGGACAAACAATGAGAGATGTATGCAACAAACATACATTGTTTGTACCTAAATAACTATAATATAGATGAGAGCATGTCATTGTTTTGTTCCTGTTAACATTGTCATTGACATTTTTCAAGAAAGTCTATGAGGCATAGCTTATGCATTCCTGTCATTACTACATTAGCATAATTACTGCTAAAATAATTCTCAGTATGATATACCTCTTGTAAGAAATCATTATAATTGTAGCAAGCACCAAAAAATCTCAAACAGATCACATTGAATCGTAATCCAAAAAAAAATGACGTCTTGAATTAACCACCCCCTTTTATTCTAAAACGATAATTGCGGTTGTAAACAGACTTTGGTTATTTCGCATGGCGATTACATATATAACTATATATTTTAAAAAGAAAATAGAGTTTTACCATGAATAGTTTCCTGCACGTAGTCTTTTTCAGTAAAATGTGCCTTGCAAACAACAGCTGATTGAGATGGACTCCACGATTTCATGGGTACCACGATTTCCCGAGAATAACGAGAACAAAATAATATCCCGAAAACAAACTGATTTGTCCCGATAACAAGATTTTACATGGTGTTATACAGCTTAAATTAGTGTAACAGCATACAATTATAAGGTTTAAGACGTTTAAGTCGTGTAGAATCAATAAAAGTACAAGTTATCTTCAGGAAGTCGATTTGTATGTCTTGTATGCAAATTCCTTGTTGAAAACAATATGGCGGACTAATTATTCATAAGGTAGATAATTCGACTTGAAAGCAAAGTACTGTGGTACTGTTGCCTCTCTGAGGATTTTTGTTGTTGAAATCGGCAATTTATTTGTGATTTGATGTATTATCTAATTGTGATAATTTTGCAACTGATCTGTGTTGATGCTATTTTATTAATTAATGTTAATGAATGAATTTATGTTTGACTCATTGACATAATACCACAATTACGTATGTTTCTCTCCGGATATATCAAATAAGAAATATAGAGATCAGATTATTTATTTCAAGTACAAATCCAATGTATACAATGGTATAATATACAAGAAATTTATCAAAAAAAAATGAAGTACAATATATTTTTACATAGTCTTTTCAATCAAAATATAAACATAATTTGTTTTAAAAATCTAGAAATTATAAAATGTAACACGTCCAACCCATACAATCATTAATAGTCCTAAATAAAATATTCAAAATTTAACATCTATTTTTTTTCTTAAAATTTTGATAAGTGTTCTCTATTATTTATTCCCTCATGTCAACTTCTTTCTGTATAATACACATATACATACATATATAGAAATATCATTCATAGTTTTCTATTAGATTTCAGATATATATACAATAGAATTTATTTATTCACATGACCATTGGAGGTACAGAGAGTATGCAAAATATGTACACGAATATGCATCTATTTACAAAACATATATACAATACAAAATAATATACATTTTAGCCAGGAGGAATTTTTTTAATTTCATTTAAATATTATCTATATTGTTTAAATTTATTGAAGTATTTGATAGAATTTACATTTATATAATTTTTTAAAATAACTATATTTTAAATTCATGTTGAATTTTTATATTTCTTAAAGATAATTATAATTTTACATTACTCTACACTATAGTTTACTTATTTTTTGAGAAAAAACAATATACATTATTTTCTGAAATATTAACTAAATTGAGCAAAATTATATAAAGTTCTTCGTATCCGCTAATATGTTGAACGTTTTAGTACTCGGTCATAGCTATGTTGAACATTTGAGGCGTTTGTGCGAGGATAAAGGGAAACCCCACAAGTGGGAGGACCCTTCCAATGCTCGTGGAAAAGTTTCTGTGCAGATGCATGGCTATCCGGAAGCTACTATCAAAAGGTTAATTACTGTAGTTGAATCAGGCCTATTTGTACATTATGCGCCTCATGTTGTCATATGTCAAATTGGATCAAACGATTGCAGTAATTTACAATTTGATGAGACTGCTTTCGAAAAGGACTTAGATACTTTCGTGTTCTCGTCCAATCTGCGTATGGGCCATGGCGTTGATCCAACTTTTCCTTCTTTTTAAGTCATTTGGAAATGCATGTCCTCCTCTTAAATGACATCCAGGTACACAACAACAAGTACTTGGCATCGTTAATTAAAAATGCAACTGTAATAGTTGCACAGTGCAGAAACCGGAAGTTGAAGAACAGGATCGGCTACCACGGCGCCACCTATTCAGGAACGATAATTTGCTACTTTATATAACTGCGAAATAACAATAACGTTAGACGGGTTCGCGTGCATAGATAGAAATGCGCTTTAAATTGTATAATATAATTCATGTTCAGTCGACCTTTAATTATTATATCAACGACTGAAATGATTTATAAACATCTAGATTGCAGATAACACTCGAAATTAACCCGACCTCTTTCCACACGGAATTCAAATAATTCTAGTTTGTCAATCGGTTGACTGCTTATAATGTAAAATACAAATATATCAAAAGTTTTTAAAACTAACAAAACACAATGATCGTTTCTCTATTTCCCAATGTAAATAAAATGAAACAAAAAACATTTTATATCACAATAAGAAGAGGAGAGAATCAACATTTTCCGGATCTACTTGGAGCCTAATGACCCCCACGTAGATAAGTTAGTTATCGCGGAAAGAAAGATTAACACGGCAACTAGAAAGGCATTAAAGCACTGCCTTTAAAAATGATACAAGACTAACAAAGGCCAGAGGCTCCTGACTTGGGACAGGCGCAAAAATGCGGCGGGGTTAAACATGTTTTTTGAGATCTCAACCCTCCCCCTATATCTCTAGCCAATGTAGAAAAAACAAATGTACAACAGTACGCACAGTAAAACTCAGTTTAATAGAAGTCTGAGTCCGATGTCAGGATAGGAAACAAAAGAAAATAAACAAAATGACAATAATACATAAATAACAACAGACTGCTAGCAGTTACTGACATGCCAGCTCCAGACCTCAATTATAAACTGATTGAAATATTATGTCTTCATCATATGAATATCAGGCACAATCCCTCCTGTTAGGGGTTTAGTATTATACCGTCATAAAATATATGAGAAGAACATAACCTGTGTCATGCCAACAACTGGTTTTAGAATAAATATTTTCAATTCTGATGCATAAACTGCATTTTACCCCTATGTTCTATTTTTAGACATGGCAGCCATGTTTATTGATGAAACAGAAAATAAAACACAAGCTTTATTCTAAATAACCATAAGGATCATTCAGCCTAAGTCATGTAAGTTTGGTTGGAATTGGTTCAGTAGTTTCAGAGGAGAAGATTTTTTAAAGTTAGAAAACAAGTTCAACAAATTGTGTAAAATTGTCGTTAAAGTGCAATAACTCCTTAAGGGGTCCATTGACAATTTTGGTTATAGAAACTTATTTGTAGATCTTACTTTGCTGAACATTTTTGCTGTTTACAGTTTATCTTTATCATTAATAATATTCAAGATAATAACCAAAAACTGCAAATTTTCCTGGAAATTACCAATTTAGTGACAGCAACCCAACAATCATGACAATGGGTTATTAGATTCATCCGAAAATTCCAGGGCTGATAGATCTTTGAACACCTAATGAACAATTTTCTCTGTGTCAGATTTGCTCTAAATGCTTTGGGTTTTGAGATAAAAGCCAAAAACTGCATTTACCCCTATGTTCTTATTTAGCCATGACAACCATGTTTTTTGATGAAACAAAACACAAACTTTACTGTAGATACCCTAAAGATCATTCAGCTTAAGTTTGGTAGGAATTGGTTCAGTAGAGGAGAAGATGTATGAAATAGTTTACACTCAACGGACGCCAACGGTCGACGACAGACAACGACGGACGCCAAGTGATGGCAAAATCTCACTGTTCCTTCGGAACGATGAGCTAAAAAGGCAAATTTAAAAAACTATTTAACGGGTCTTGAAAGGTGCAAACTTTCCAATTTATTGTGTGCACATATTATTATTCGTGTATTTAGTTTCAAGAAATTAAATAACAGAAACTCGGTTTGATGTAAAATATATTATTAGATTTCATCTTGTCGTATCAAGGGGTCGAATTCGTGGAGTATTCTAAATGTTGTTTTTTATGCACTCTTAAAAGTGCGACGAAATGGAATTGTTCTCCTATATGATTGTGTATTCAAATCGTGTTAAAGTTGCCTCAAAAAAGATTATCTATGGATTGTCAAGAAAACGAGCCAGTTGGACAATCATACAACATCTTCTTCTTTTTTTTTAATTAAATGTGAATAGAAACCATTTAATGCCATTGAAAAAAAATACGATTGTGTATTGATAAAACATCCAGATGAACAAGCATTTATTTAAAATAATGCGTTTTAGATTTTGATTGCATTCTAACAAGGACGTATAACTAACATAATCTAATATACGTCCTTGATTCTGCGTAGTACATGCTTTTTCCGTGTACTAAGTAACTACGCACGAATGACCACAAGGGTAAGATTTCATTGTATCGTAATCAAGATATTTAAAACAAAAATTGCCACTGGCTATTTTGAAATAAAATGCTGTGTTCCAAATTAAATTAAATAGTTTGTAATTAGTTTTTACGTTGATTTTTAATTATCCTGCTATTAAAATCTTTGGATTTAAAAAATGTTTTTGACCACTGCAAATTTCTTTCATTCAAATCAGAGACATATATACACATATATATGTCTCTGTTCAAATAAAGGGAAATACATATGGTTCTTTATACCTTAATTAGAGTACAATGATATCTTAAAATTATGATAATGTATCATGCATCCATGCAATTACTTTATAGACAAAAATTTAAAGTGTGTACTATGAAACCTTGTGAAGGGAAATTAAAGCAACTTGGTGATAATTTTTTAAACTTTCTTAAGGAAGCTGATCTATTTCGTCATGAATTGGTTGATTTATTGATTATTGGTTGCTTAATGTCCAGTGGCAAATATTTCATGCATGTTCAGGACGATGTCATGAATTGAAAAACTGTGATTATGTCTGATGATAATGTGCCACCTATATATATATTTAAACATATTCTGATAAATCTTTTAGTTTTTACTTTGAAATAATAATAATAAAAAAAAACACTAAACCTGTAATCTCTGATCTCTTGGTAGTTGCTTTTTAATGCCTATCTGCTATGGGGACAATCTATCTATATGTTTCAAATTTATTATAGCTTTAGTTTTACTGTGAAATTAAAAAAAATGTTTTTAAAACATGTAAAGCTTCCACTGCAATTTAATTATTGCCTGCTTTTGGTCAATTTATTTGGTCATCTTACCATGTAAGAAGAACATGTATAGTAAAACACTGCTTAAAATCAATATACATACCTACACCAGCAGCTACCATCTTTTCATTCTGGAGTCAAGGGCCTTTTGAAATCACATATTTTACAATGATACTAGTGAGTAGATTTACAAAACTTCGTTAATGAGCTCCGTTTTACAAACACCTGT